CACACACACACACACACACACACACACACACACACACACACACACACACACACACACACACACACACACACACACACACACACACACACAGTGCTGTGACTAGACAGGATGCTGTGTTGGCTTGTCAATGCAGCTGTACGCCTCTGAGTGCTCGTATCTTCCAGGCGATACATTTCAGCAGCACCAAAGCATCTTGTTTCCCAGCTGAAAAGGGCTGGGATTCAAAGCCCCTCGACATGTGACGTGCGTATTTTTCCTCTTAGATGTATAAATGACAAAATGTTTGCAGTACATGGAAAATGTATTTGTAATATCAATCAGTAGTAATCAGTATAGGGAAGGTCATTTGTGATCTAGTCTTAATATATAACTTTAATGATCTTCAAGGGCAGGCGAACATTCTGAAATCTGAGCAGCCACACAAACATCTCAGGCTTCGGAGGTTGTATCGGATTATCTTCTGCTCCTTGTGACTCCTTGTGTGCCCTGTCCCCATCAGGTCAGTGGAGGAGAGCTTCAACATGTCTGACGATAGCGCCGGACCGAGCCTCGGCGTGGCTCGGAAGAAGAAGATCGCCATCGGCGTCATCTTCATGCTGTCCCCCAACACGGAGGAGAACAACCGCTTCCAGGATTTCTTCTTCTCCCACTTCCCTCTCTTTGAAAGCCACATGAACAAACTCAAGAGCGCTATCGAACAGGTGAGTTTGTGTATGACGCTGATTGGCTGTGTTGTTATTAACTACAAAGATGATTCTTTTGATGTGTTAGAAGTTTGTTTCCCCCTTTATGACTGCTGTTGCTTCCCTGATTGACACTGTGAAGATAAGCCTGTCAGTGAAATGCGTTTAGCAGCGAGACATGAATAGCATTGAATGCAGACCTTTGCTGGTGTAATGATCAGAGTTGCTGTCAGATGACCACTCAATGATCACACCTTGTATATCTGAGATTCTGTTTACTGCTGTCTGTTGTTGGCACTGTCGCAGCTCTGGAGGACTTCCAGAGACCCCCCCCTCACATTCCTTGCTTCACCTTTCCTGCGTAGTGTTTAATCAGCTTCAGTGCCAATTATCTCAAAGAGCATTTGTGTTGTTTCACTCTCAAGGCCATGAAGTGTCGTCGGTCAGCTGATGCCACTCAGAGAGCCCTGGCTTACAGCCGAATGGTGGAAGGACTCAACGAGTTCAGGTATGGCAACAATTCACATTCTCTCACCATAATGCAGACAATGATCGGACTTCATTCATTATTTTACTATTGCCCTTATGACAACTGGCAAATACTTCATAGATCATAGGGTTGGGCCAAAGTTTTTTCCCGGCTGCCCTCGTTAGATGGAGTCGGTTGATATTTAGTTTGAAGAGATGGGAGAAGATGTTTCCATCTTAAACCCAACACGTTATCTCTTACAGATGACTTTGTTCACATTCTCTGGCTCTCTTTTTAGTGTGTGAAGGTTTACATTACACAGTTTGATAAACGTATATCATCTTGGTTAACTACACGGCTTAGTTGAATATTAGATTCTGATTGGTCAAATTGGAAATGTTCAGAGGTTGTTAATACTCAAACACATTGCTGCTAAGCAACATAATGACCGTTGCTAAGGAGGATCAAGGGAGAGAAGTAAAGTAGGTACAAGACAGAGCATCGGACATCAGAGAAATCAACGGAAGAAGGCAGACAGGAATTTATCAATAACGGCAACATGGTATTGGCTGCTCTGGAACTTGTTAGGTTGGTGGAAAAGGAACTGGGAACAAATGTGGACAGTTACTGTAAACCTTGATCAGTGCTGCCGTTAAGTCAACAAAATCATTTTCAATTAATATTGTGAGTCAAGTTGTTGGTTTATTGACTATGTGGCCGTGTTAAAAGCGGGATAGTGCAATGAGTCGGTCATTAATGAACACATATCAAGCAGGCAGTAAACTGTTGTTGATAACATCTGATATTCTCCAGCTGCTATGGCCTGCAGATAAATAAGCACCTGATCTGTCAACAAGGTTTAGAAGATAATTCTTTTTCCCTATGTCATATTTCTTATGGTCACTAGGCAAGTGTCACATTACTTTGATGCATTGCCGTCATAAAGGTGTCCTTTAAATGCCTCTTTGTTAGTTGTAACAATTGAACTGAATGGTGCTTTTCATTGCTTTAATATTGTTAGCATGTGCTACAGGATAACTGTCAGTGAGCACGCTGTGTCTCTGAATAACAAGGTGATTTTATGGACTCTAAAGTTAACGGAGATAAGGTGAAGGGATTGTGTAATTCTGCTCCAGTTACTGATGTGGCGTGCTGAGGTGTCGAATCAATGAATAACTAATGAACACCCACTGGGGTTGATGTGTCAGGATAGCGTGATGCTAACAGTCTCTGTCCTTTTGTCATATGCGCATAATTTAATAGATAATTGAGTACCACTTTACAATAAGACTACCCTCAAGTGCCAACCTGTGCGCTCAATAACATTTTCTATGCTCAAAATGCTCCATTGCGTGCTCAGGATAGAGGCACAAAAATAACGCCATACAGTAAGAAATGTTGTAGTATGTTAGCTAAAAGAAAGGAGGAACACACTGTGACCTACCTGTAGCAAACCACAGATGTTGCTATGCATGCTGGGAGTTCATCCCATAGAGTTTTGTTTGTTTTTGAGGAAGCTTATTTGGCTGAAATGTTTGAAGCTACCAGTTACTTCTCAACTCTCCACCACAACTACCCAATGAGGATGCTTTGTTTATTATTTGTCTAGAAACGCCAGTTCCCAGAAGGATTTAACCTTTTAATGTGTAATGAAATCAAATATTAAATCATAAAGGTTCTTAAACATTTGAATTGGTGTGATATGCTTGTCACTACTCTATGACTGTTTGGTACCTCGTAAAACACACAACCTTAAGTGTGTGTGTGTGTGTGTGTGTGTGTGTGTGTGTGTGTGTGTGTGTGTGTGTGTGTGTGTGTGTGTGTGTGTGTGTGTGTGTGTGTGTGTGTGTGTGTGTGCGTGCACTTGCCACACACACTTGCAGTCTATCTGAGGTTCCCTCATTGCTGCAGTCATATGCCTGTTGGCAGCCGGCCACAGCAACCCAAGCCTGCGAAGTGGCAACCCTATCTTCCTCAGACACTGGCCACGGGCACCAGAATAGTAAATAATATGTGAGATCCCGGGACTAACTAAATATCTGTAAAATCTCACCTTCAGACAGCAGCTAAATATAAGTGCAGCCACCTTTGCCATTAAGGGCTTTTGACTTCATGGAACATTACAGGAGGAACTGGAGGAAATGCCTTTGCAAGATGCTGATTCCGGATTGACGTAGTTGGGAGGGTGGGCATGCACACATACCCACGCATGCTGTCGAAGATAAGCTGGGCACTTAGCTGAGGCATGTGCACATATAAGTCACACCAGCCTATATTGTGGGGTTACTGTAGGGTTTGCAGTTAGAGGGAAAACAGGAGTAGTGATGGCGGCAGAGCCACTTAACACATTAGGGTTGGAGAGACTCCACTTCCCATTTTAGCTCACAAGCATAAAAAAAGTGCTTATCCTTCTCTTGGACGAAAGTATGCAAGTACTTAATGGAGGCCACTAGAAACTGTGCCTCAGAGTTGTTAATGCAACATTCATGCCCAACATTTTAAGGTTTTTAAAGCACCGTAAGCAAAAAATCAACGGTGCCTTCATAATTTATAGTGCAAAAATTGTAGTTCAATGCAAAAAGAAAGTACAGTACTTACATGTTTGTATTAGGATTCTAAGAAACAAAAATAAAATAAACCCATAAGGATTATCGGTTAGTAATTGCACTATTAGATTCAATGCCCATAACTCTTGTGCTATAACTCTTAATACGTACAAGGTGCTTTCAATTTAAATTGGCATTCGAAAACACAGCTTGAGCCAGAAGTCGTGTATGAGATCAGAATGGTTTGAATCGCTCCCGTCCATAGTGAGAGCATTTCAAATCAGTCTCCTCGACACAACAGTTTAATTTCACATCACGCTCTTTAAAGTTCACCTGAACAGCTGCTGCAGAGAGGCTGTATGTACACCCCACATTATCTGGGTCGACTGGGGCTTTAAAGGCCACGGATAAGTCAACCCATTTATACCAGGAATCAAAAAGTGTTATTAGGTTATTTGATGCTGCAGCCCTGATGATGGATCATCTCTGCTGACAACGACGTGTAAAGAGAGTCAGCGACATGTTTAGGGTATGTTGATTTGCAAGTGACATCAAGTCTTTGGCAGCTAAGTACTACAGTTAGTAATGGTTCCTTGTTTAATGTCAAGAAATTGATTAAAGCTCAAATTGTCTCATGCAGTGATCACTCACTCTCTTGTAAGCTTCTCATCCATTGGTTCAATCATTCTTTCTTGGTGAGAGAAAGCAAGCTTTGCTACAAAATGTAATCGAAACCGAAGATTTGTTTATACGTCATAAAGCACACTTAAGCTGTAATTGAGTGGTTTTTGGAGGTAGTTCAAGCATTTTTCTTGCAATAGGCGTTCTTGTCCACCACCACAGTCATTGTGTTAATATTATCAACCCGCCAAGAGCAGGTTTTGGATTACAACACTAAACCGTCTAAAAAGAACTAGAGCAACAACAGTATTGCAATGCACTGGATTTGACAAGTTCTCCTTTTTGCTCCCTGTCCATAACTTCTTCTTATGAACCGGTAAACAAAGACTACGCATGTTGTTCCTATCTGCTTTGAAGAAACACATCCACCTAAAATAGCTTGATTACTGGAGAACTAGTGAAGGTCACTTTCACTTTGTGACACCTGCGTTTTCTCCCAGCATGCAGCATGGCCACATCTCCCCTATCACCAAGTTTTTTGTATAGGTCAAAAAGGGTTGAATGTTTACTGTCTTAGATCTTGTGCAGTTTCCTGTTACACTAAATCAAGCTTCCACTAAGTGCTTATCAGTTAAAAGTCTTGTGACAGATCACTTTCGGTCAAATGTATTTCCCTTGAATTTGCTCGATATGTTCGCAGGGAAAGCAGATAAAACATCTGCACAGTTTAGCATTTTCAAACTCATAATCCAGCAGCTGCAGTGCATATTTGAGCTCTGACTAAAAACGCCTGATTCTCCACATTCCTCCGGCTGCAAAGATTCCCCTCTGCCCCTGTGTCAAAGCTTGGCCTCCAGCCGAGACATGCTCACCAACACGCCCCACGCTCCATGGAAACTCCACTCCTTCTCAATGGACAAACGCTCCAACTGAGCCTCATACAGATAGATATACACACTGTACAGAGCAAGGAGACAGGGTTGGGAGTCAAGTTTGCTGGACTGTTTCAAACACACACACAACGAGGGTCTCCCATGGGCCCAGCGCAGTCTGTGAACTGAGATCTCTTTTGTTTACCCCGAGAGACAATAACGTGTCTGTTCTCTCTCTGTCTGTTTTGTCTCTTTTTCCCCTCCTTCCCTGTCCATGCCCCTCTCCATGCTCTTTCATCCCTCCCTCGCCGTACCTCATCTCCAGGATGACAATCTGCGACCTCTACACCATGCCGAGGGTGGCTGAGCCCGTCTGGTTGACCATGATGTCCGGGGCGTCGGAGAAGAACCAGCTCTGCGGTCACTTCATGAGGGAGCTCTCGCTGCTGATGGAGCAGGCCTCCAAGAACCAGTTGAGTGACTGCTTGTTCTCACACCTAGGCCGCCATCAGTCAAGACATTTTTTTTAAAGTATCTCAAAAAGGGGATCATGGAAATACGTTAAAAGTCATTTCCAAACACATATCACTTACTGGTTTTTAAGAGTGGTAGGCCACAGCAAACCCACCTGTTGTGAAGATCAGGCTGTTCACCACTCGATTGATCTTTTCTGAGCTGACAGCATTAAGCTCACTAATGTAAAGAGAGAAGACATGCATAACAGAACTCAGACACAAAGAAAAGTTAGTCTTTTTTGCTTCTACTTCCTGGACAAGCCTATAAACAGAGAAACACATGCAGGTTCACACACTGTTCATTCTATTCTACTCAGTCTATCGTCTTTCTCACCCTTTTCATGGCTCTCAAACATACACACAAGTGAGTGTTTCACCCTCTTTGCATGTATTGGTCTGCCTCTGAGGGAGCTGTGAATGCCAGTCTCTAATTGCTTATTGTTGCTGTCATAAAGCCACGTCAAAACACTGCTAATTGTACACAAATGAATTGGTAGCAAGGCCTTTATGGAACATATTCACACTTGATCCATGTAGCATTTAGAAGTGTTTTTATCGCATTCTTTATTCAAATTGTATCATTGATTGCATAAAGCAAAAATAACATGTTAAGACAATCATAAAACATAGTTTTTTAACCCTTTATAGACATAAAAATGATTAAATTGAGGGTTCAAGAATAATTTTGAAGAAATTCCACGAGCAATAAAAACCCCTCCTCCACTTGGAAGACGTCGTGGTGGAATACTGTTTATCAGACTGAAGAATCAGAACGTGTCTGTACTTTACTATTACTACCTTTCACTTTCTCATGTTCTCTAAATCCCTGCACACTCTAAGTGGTGTCTCCTAGGCAACCACTGGTGTTTCCTCATTAGCATAATTTCTCTGAAAAGTCAGCATTTCCACCAATGTCAGGGTGTCTTCCACACATCCATTTTGGACCTGACGATACACAACTACTTCTACGCTATGTTGACTCTCGGATGAAGCCATATGTCTCCCTGGCAACAAAATGTCTCGTAAGACATAATTTCTTTTCTGAGGCGTCCTGTCAGTTTTCCCATGATGCTAGTGATGAGTGCCGCAGTCACAACTGTGCTGGAGCACATGACTGAACTTGAGTAGCATTGGTGTTGAGTCATGAGACAGGAAAGGAAGTAGACACTTGTGGTCAGGAGTGAGAAGTGAATCATTCGTATTGGTGTGTGTGTGTGTCTTTCTGCATACATTTCTATTTGTGTGTGTGTGTGGCAAACAATGGATGTGTGTGTTGTGGCCAGCAACAAAAGGTCTGACCAAGTTGACCTCACCAAATAAGGTCAGGAGGGAAACTGAGAAGTCATTTTTGATCGGGTTCACACAGCTAGGATGTTTGGATTCTCCTCGACTCTTTGCTCACCAACCCATATCTGATTTATTTCAGATTCCTCCCCGCGTTATTGACAGCCATCCTGACCAATCATCTGGCCTGGGTGCCCACCGTCATGCCCAATGGGCAGCCTCCAATCAAGATCTTCCTCGAGAAACACTCCTCCAAGAGCGTCGACATGCTGGCCAAGACGCACCCTTACAACCCGCTCTGGGCACAACTAGGTGAGGCACTCAGAAAACAAACACACAAGCACACACATGGACAACATAAATGGACGTCTGATGGAACACCTGTGTTTGATCCTCATTTTCGCTGAAGCTGGAACGCATCCTCACCTGTCATCATTAATCATCCCAGCACAAAGACAAGTTGGGACTGAATGTTCTCCACATGCAGCTCCATTAGACTGCACTCTGTTGTAGCTCTTATGTCCGTTTCAGAAGTGTAATGCATTAATGATCTTGTGATAAAAACGCAATTTAAAAATGTAAAATGAAATAATACTCCAATGAGGTGCAGTTCATTTAAATGCTTATTGCTGTGTAAAGCATCAGTGTTTTTTATTGTAACATGTTGCATTACTAATCATCTATTTGTGCACTTCTGCCTAGTCTCTCTCTTTTTAATGTGTTATACACACAGTATAGCTGTAGATGATTTGTAGATGCATGTAGTGAGTGGTGATATCCTTTAAATACACAAACATCTTATAGAGTATGTTGAGTAGTCCACACTTTCACCTCATGTGACATGGAGAGCTCTGGGAAAGTGAGTTCATGGTGCCTCCTGGTGTTCATAGTGAGAACTGCACACCAGAGAGGAAAGAACACGTTAGTCTTCTGTTTGTTTGACTGGCGATTGTTTAAACATACCTTCATAAGTTCTGTAATATGTCCTTTGTGAGAGTAAAATAAAAGCCTCAAATATTGATATAAACTCTTTTTATATCCAGATACTAAAATGTAAGTCAAACGTAATGTATTTTTCTCAAAGTCTTCATCACACAACTTTTCTCTCATGATGGATGTATTTCAGGGATCCAAGAAATGACTGTCTCTTGTGCCAGTTTTGTTGTCGTATGTATTAGAAGTGTGTTATGTACACACTGTGTAGTGTATTCAGAGGGGACCCCTATTTACTCTTCTACAAACTGCCTGCTCGGTACAGCTCGCTCATTTTAATGATATATAAAGAAAGAAAGATCTATAACCTATTTATGAGTAATTTTCTCGACAACCGTTCATCCAATCAACTTCACACTGCGGCAAACCTGGAGACTTCACAATCAAATGTTATAGAACGAGCATAAATAAATGATTAAAAAAACATTACCTGATAAAATAATTTGATAAATCTAAATGGCTGTACAGAAGTGCTGATGAGTTGTTTTTCCCTCACTGTGTAGGCGACCTGTACGGGGCCATAGGGTCCCCGGTGCGGCTGTCCAGGACGGTGGTGGTGGGCCGCAGACAGGAGCTGGTCCAGAGGCTCCTCTACATCCTCACCTACTTCATCCGCTGCTCCGAGCTGCTGGAGACGCACATGCTGGACAGCGCCGAGGACGAGGCCATCGTCATCCCCGGCTCCCTCATCACCACCTCCCTGAGGAGAGGAGAGGTGGAGGAGTCGGACTACGTGCTGGTCACCGTCCACAAACCCAGCGGGGACTACTTGTCTCACCCCACCCACAGCCGGCAGACCGAGGCAGAGGACAGCAGCTACCCTTCAGACAACAGCCTCCAGAGCAGCACTTACACAGACACAGAGGGGGAGCAGGGTGGGGGGGACACACCCAAGGAGGAGGATGAGGAGGAGGAAGAGGAGGAGGACAGCAGTGACAGTCAAGGGTCCAGGAGCAGTGTGCTTCAGACGGGGGACAGTGCTGTTATCAGGATTGCAGAATCAGCTGATCCCGGGGGGCTGCTCAGGGAGTCCAGCAGCCCCCCGGGAGTCCCAGAGGCCCGGCTGGAGACGGTGCTGCGGGTGGGCTCGGCGTCCCCCAGGGAGGAGGTCTGTGTGCTGGACACAGAGACCAAGGGAGACCTTAGACTCATCGTCCAGCCCACACCCACAGCCTCACTGGCATCATCACCATCTCCTGTCCCTACAGAGCAGAAGACCCCCGGCTCAGAGGCTGGGACGGATGCAGGCGTAGGGACCCAGCCCCCCAGGGTGCTGGCCTCTCTGCCGTTAGAGATCCCTCTGGAGAAGAAGCTCCATGATAAAAACACGCCTGCTGCTGCAGTGCCAGTTCCAGGAAGCACCGCGTCGGGGCCCATGTCTCTGATCCTGACAGAAGAGGACGAGCCGGCAACAAAGGTCACCTTCCTCATCGGAGACTCCATGTCTCCAGAGTCGGACACAGAGAGCCGCCGGAGGAAAGTGGAAGAGGACATGAAGAAGTACAAGAAGCACCTCAAGGACAAACCTCTCCACCAGCAGCTGATGCTGATGCAGCAGAAACAGCATCAGGTGCAACATCACAAACCCAAGAGTGGAGCGGAGTCGAAGACCAGCAGCAGCAGCCAATCAGAGGACCAAACCAAACAGACCAAGGCAGCCCCCCCCCTGCAGCGGGTGTCCAGTAAGATGCCCAAGTGGACCCCCAACTGTGTGGACGATTTTGACGAGTACTTCAGTGTGGATAACCCCGTGGAGACTAGGACTATAGAAGATGTGGCCAAACGACCGACGGCCAGCAGCACAGACAGTATGCACAAAGACCTGCTGGACCCCTCGGGAGTCCCCCAACCCGGGGACATTGGGGGCCACAGCAGTCCGGGGATAGGTCTGTGTTTAGGTTCAGGTAGGCCGGAGGTGGGGTCCAGCAGGAAGGGAGACATTTTGCTGAGCGTCCAGAGGAGGTGCAGGTGTGGCTCCACAGATTCCTCCGACACATGCTGCTGCAGCAGAAGCTGTTCTGTTGAGCAGGACAAGGGTCTTCTGCTGTCGGTCCCCTTCCCCCAGGATGAGAGCAGCAAGGGCACAGAGGACCAAAAGAACAAGGCGATGCCGGCCAACGACTGGGAGATCCCCCGCAACGAGAGCTCGGACAGTGCGCTGGGGGACAGTGAGAGCGAGGACACAGAGGACTGGCAGGAGGAGATGCTGCTGCCCCTCCCCGGGTGAGTACATGACACAATAACTAGTGCAAACGCTAATGTTCATTTTGTTTCATTAGTTTTAGTGAAAAATACTAATTTGAAGTTTTTATCACATTGAGTAAACCCTATGCTGTTATTTTTTCAGGTTTTATTTAACTTAAAATCAGGACATTTTAGTCTAATCCTAGTAAAAAAAAAAGTATTTCTGTCTGGTTTTGAAAAATGTAAATAAACATTTTTTTTTAGTCATCAGATTATATAGAACATTTGAGTCAATCTAGAATAGCCAAAAAAAAAATGCAGTTATTTTTGTCAAACTTACTTACCATTATGATTCTGATGTAAAACATAGGTTGAACACCTTTTATTGTTTTTAAAGTACATGTTTGTGTAGATATCGTCTCAGTTTGAGGGAAATACTGTATCTTGATCTTTCTCCCCTCATCTTTGCACAAACAAAAAAAAGCCATAAAGTTTACATATGAGTTTTCAAAATGAAAAGTAATAAATCCCTTCTGACTTTGTCTTCCTTTGTAATTGATGTTATAATGACGGCAGGTATCTATCTTTATCTTTTGGGATCACATATCTCATCACATGTTTGCTTTATAGGTCAAAGTTAGTGGAGAACTACTCGAAGCCAAGCATTGCCAACTTTGGCCGCTCTCTGTTCGGAGGCTACTGCCCCACCTACGTGCCAGACTTTGTACTGCAAGGGTTGCCTAGTGACGAAAAGCTTCGGCAGTGCCTCATGGCCGAATTAACCCACGCTGTTCAGGTAAAGTTCAAGTGTTAAACCTTTTCATTTTCATTGCCATTGAAGCGTTTTGAACAACCAGAATGTGATTGCAAACAAGTCATTTACAAGAAAATGTGGTTTTGCATTGAACCCTTATCTTCACTTTATGCATGTGTATTATTGTAACTGAATGTTTTCTCTTCTGCAGCATCCAGTATTGGACGAGCCTATCGCGGAGGCCGTCTGCATTATAGCAGACACAGAGAAGTGGACGGTGCAGGTGGCTAGCAGTCAGAGGCGAGCCACAGACGTCAACAAGCTGGGGAAGGAGGTCCTGGTGTCCAACTTGGTCTCAAACTTACTGCAGTCCACCCACCAGCTCTACAAACTCAACATCTCACCCAACTTTGTACGTGACACCTCTCAGCCAAACACTGGTTATTCAGCAGCAAGCACCACTTTGATTCCTGTGCTTTAACATCCATGTTTCCTTCCTCTTCTCCTCAGTGTATCATGCACCTTGAGGACCGCCTGCAGGAAATCTACTTCAAGAGCAAGATGCTTGCTGAGTATTTGAAGGGTCAGACAAGAGTCCATGTCAAAGAGTTGGGCATGGTCTTAGGGTAAGGGGTTAACCTTTATTCTCCACTCACATGTGCTGGAAAGCAGAACATAAATGCCTAACTAATCTACTGAAACGTATTCTGTGGATTTTGTATCTCTAGCAGCAGGTCCCTGTTATTTGTCTCATGCACTATAATCACTATAATGATGCAAATGCACATGCAGTCCAATGAAGGCTTTAAAACTATAGGAACATTCAACTTTGCAATTTACTGAGGGAGGATTGTTTTAGAGCTCTATGGTACACAGTGAGTTTTTCTGAGTATTACTGAATTTAAACATAACTGTTATTTGCCCATAAGGACGCCCCACATGGCGCTAGTGATGTGTCGGTCGCGAACGAGCCGTTTTTGTTGTTGATAAGGAGGCCTAATACAAGACAGAATGATATGATGATCTCCGCGCTACGGGTGCTCCGTGCATGCATGCAGTGACATGTCATATCCAAGGATTAGAGACTGTTGGATGCTGCTGTTTTGAGCAATGCAATATATTTATTTTCATTATGTTATTTATTTATGATTATTTTTAAGCTCAGCAAAGATTTGTGGTCAGTTTGTATAGGTGTTGCTATCAGCTTCTTTTTTTGCGTGGTTCTACAATCAGTTTCAAGGGTCTTTAAATGCAACGAAAACAATTGGCCACAGCATGTAATTTTTACTTTTGAATACTTCAGTACAAATGATGTATTGAATAATTTAAGTGATAGGCTATGTGTACACATATAAATCATTAGTCAAAACAGGGCTAAATTTGATTGAATTATAAAAGGTATTTTTTGCAGATAAACCTATTAACCCCGCCCCCTTAAAAAAAATGGCTCTTTTGAACGGCTCTCGCAAAGGAACGGAGCCATAAGATCCGGCTCCCTTCTAAGAGCCATAATGCCCATCACTACATGGCACCTTACTGGAAAAAACCCCGTTAATGTATTAAACAACCAGCAACTTTTCATTGTGTGATTTTTACCAATTAAACATGGCAGTGTGATATTTATAAATGGTGTTACTTTAAACAGGCCACGTAGATCTTATCCTGATGTTTGCTCTGGTGTCGTTTCAGAATCGAGTCCAGCGACCTCCCCCTGTTGGCCGCAGTGGCCAGCACCCACTCCCCCTATGTGGCCCAGATCCTCCTATGAGGCTGTCAGACCAGGGGGGGGGGGCACTCTGGCCCCAAATCAACCGTCCATTCTCCACAGCTGACCCCCGTCATGGTGTTCTCCTCTCGCTCTGCAGTGTAGATGTTACACCACCGGGGGGAGCTAGAGTCCCTCTGTGGAGGTTTCCCAGTCCTTTGAATGTTTCTTTTAAATACTCTTTTTATTTTTGGACAGAAAAACGCCAAAGACTTTATAAATGTTTCCAGGTGAGAATGAAACATTAAGGATTTCTACGGTATAATAACATTGGACTTTTTTTCCTTCTACTTTTTCTCTGTACAATCTGTGTCAGACTACAAGATGGATTTTTTTATTTGAACATTTTAAGGTTAATATTATTGAGAACTTTATCAATCTCATGCATTTATGTTATTTCATTTATCTTCATGTTTTTGTTTACAAGCCAAATTTCCCTTGAGATATCCCAGTGACACGTTTTATTGTAATTGAGGTTATTTTTGGTTCGACAAACCGGTTTTGAGATCGCTTAAAGCGGCTTTGACATTCTTATCATAGGTACAGCACTACCTCAGATCTTCACATGGATGACACACATTTACAGTCACCCAATAGAAAACCCTGAGGTAAACGTTTGAAGGTATTTTAATCAGAGGAATGTCAGCGGCATCTTCGTGCAGACCCTATGCTGTGTTCTTCAACAAGGGGAGTTTGGTAAATTCCTGGGGATGATTGTTTCACACATATTTTTCAGAATGTGTTTTAAGTTCCCCGCTCTACTGTGGATAAAAGCTCCGACACACATCATCTACATGTATTTTACAACCCAAATGCTGAAGTATTTTCACACTTTTATAGCTTCGCCACCTTTCTACAATGTTTACGGCTTCGATGTTTGCTGCAGACAAAAAGAGGAACACGGGAGGCCTTACAATAGATACAAATATGTATGAGTTAACACAATAGATACAAATATGTATGAGTTAACACTATTTTCAAACATGTTTCTATGACGGTTATACTCACAGAAACACGCAGAATATAAAAGCTCTAGTAGCACCCTTTAAAAATAATGTTTCTTTAGGTTTTCCATGACATTGAAAAGTGATTTTTCTGTTATATCTTTAAAGCCAGGGTGCGATTTGGTGAGCGTAAATAAGAGGTTCCTTTCATAGTTTCAGTTTAGGTGGATTCTCTCCTGTGCATAGGGTGTTTTCTGCAGTGGGGGCCAATGGTATTTTATTGTTAATACTTTTTGTTGTAAGTACTTTTTATTGTTTCATCGGCATTGGAAATAAATCTATATTTTGTTATCTCTTTAATTAACTCCAGAAATAAAAGGAGGAGTTAAACATTTCCCAACATTATTTAATATAGGTCAAAGCAGAGAGGAAACACAAGAGTTTTAAATACATATGAAGGCAGAGGGAGGAGCTTAATTTAGCCGATAAGCTCAATAAATATTCAAATGAGTACTTACTGGAACAACCCTTCCACAATGTTTAAAAATGTGTGCTTAAAGATTAGCGTATACACATTATATGTTGGACTGAATGCTGAGAATGGCTTGTATTGTTAGAGAAAGCAGGAATAATGTGTTTCTTTCTGATCCTGTATATGACCCAAGTCTTAAGAGATGTGGCATGAATGCATCAGAGCTCATTTTGCTGGTAAAATGTCTAGAGACGTGCTTGTTGCATTGAAGATGCTCCGCTGTATCAGCCTACATTTTGTACAACCCAGCCATTATGTTTAAAAGGTATGAATTTATACCTGCTTTCACTTCTTTGTATATGAATAAATTATTTAGTAAGTTTAGCCCATGGTATGTGTAACGGTTCATGTAAACTGTACATACTCTTGTTTATTTCCATGTATTTGTACAGAATGTCTTGAATTGTCTCTTCAAATTATTTTTTCCCAATTTTATGGGAATGTTGTGCAATAAAAATGCCGATGTTAAGAATTTATGTTGCTGGGAATTCTTTCTGTCACAAAATCAAAGGGGAAAGGGGGAAATAAATCATGGAAAAGAGATATGTAAATATAAACATGTTTCCCAAAACCTCAAAAAGAGCTATAATTTGCATCTGGGAATTACTGATGGTATACACACTACAGTTATAAGTGTAGTTGATGTACCACATACCCTTGTATCTGTTTATAAGACGGCATTAAAAAACGAGTTTCCAGTGAATCCACAGACCCGGCTCTGATTTAATGGATCAGCTCCAAATGTGTGTTTCTTCACATGTCAGATTAGGATCTAAGTTTATCTTTTATTTTCCCACAAACATTTTTTAATTAAAAATAAATTGCATAGCTTACACATGTAAACTGGTGTTGTTTTGGGGTTACCCCATTTGGGAATTCAGATTTTTCTTTTTTCTCTGCTTTTGCTGGTAGACGTTTTAATGAGAGCCCAATCCATGACATTTCCTCCATCGCTGCCTCATTTTTAAACAGTCTGGAAAGTGGCTCTGAATCCGTGCAAAGAATAGCAATTTTATTTGGATTGGAGGTGGTTTCACTTCTGTTGCTCACCATCTGGATCACACATTGGACCCACCTTTTGCATTTACCTCTCTGACGCTGGTTGAGGCTCCACCCCACCCTCCCCAGGATACACACGTCACACACACACACACACACCGCAGTTATGCAATAATAGGAGTGTCATAGTCGCAGTGATTATTGCATTAATCCCACTGTCCGTATAGCTATTTTAGGAAAACATAAACTTAAAACACTGTTCGTTAAATCGGGGTTAAAACTGCGAGAAGTGCGTGGATATTCTTTGACCATACAACTTTTATGGTCAAAGAATATCCAAACCCACCAGCATGAGGATATAATATATATATATTTATTTTATTTACGGTTTCAAGTCAATTTATTTATAAATAAATTGACTTGAAACAGTTGCTGATTTAGAGTACTGGCACCTTTTTTTATTCCAATTAAAGCACTGCATAAAAGCAGTATTTTCCCGCTAAAGCAGAAGCCGTGAATGTCTTTACTAAACTGTGCAGCTTTAACATGCACTTCATTAGTCTGATTAATCCTCATGTTGGGCAGTTTGTGGGAGCATGCTGACATTAGAAGTGTCAGAAGTCAGAGGGAGGCTCTATGTGGCGTTGAGGGACTGCTTTTGAAGCTCGTACACTCGAGTTTCAAAACTATTGAACGCGGTTTTCTATGCCATTAACGCTGGACTACGACAACACTTTTGAAATAAATAGCGTAATCATTATTTATCTTACAAATGCAATGTATAATGGAATTTATGATTAATTTTATGAGAAATACAATTAATTGTTGGTTAATTAAATACATCCGTCATTTGTGTTGATATATATGTGATATTAAATATATTTATACTGATATCTTATGGTTAGGCCTATATATGGGCTACTTTTGCTACTGTTGAAGCAGGCCTACTCTACTTATACTATACTTAGATTTTTTTCCCATCATTTTTACTTATGACCACTGGTCAGCAAAAGTAAGTCATGTCTTCGCTTCATTCCAATAATTTATTTGAAAATGCCCCTTTATCAGTGGTGTAAAGTAACTAGTAAGTACATTCACTGAAGTATATGAGAGTCTTGTCATTTACTTGAGTATTTGTATTTTATGCTACTCTATCATTCTATTCCACTACAATCCAGGGGCAAATGTTGTCCTTTATATTAATCTAAAACGGGCCGATATGCATAGTGAGTGGGCTACTTTTACTTTTGTTACTTTAAGTATATTTTTGATGTACTTTTATTTGAGTAACAATTTCTAATGCAGGACTTGTACTTGTAATAGAGTAATCCTACACTCTGGTACTTCTACCTTTACCTGGGATCTGAGTACTTTTCCACACCTCTG